CACAGCATTTGTCTCCGAAATCAGCGGATAATCACAAGGTTGTATTTAAGATGTTATTTTATGTACTATTTTATTCAACCAGTATTTTGCTTATTTGCTACAAAAATACAGTCACTGAACACGTTTTTTCAGAATGCTCAGCAGCCTGAAATTATTTTTGCATCATCAACTGAACCCGGGAGTCCTCCTAAGATGTCTGGCTCCATGAAATTTGCAGTCAATTGAAATATTTCTAGCTCTTCACAAGAGCCCTAAGATAATTATTCATGTCTTCAATGTAGATGCAACTTGCTTCTCCTGCAGGATGTAAAGTTACGTGCTTTGGATTGCTCCAAAATGGAAAATTTTGCTGCTTTGAAGTCCTACAAGATGCAAATTTTTAAGCTTCAAAGTGCTCCGAAATGTAAATTTTGCTGCTCCGAAAATTGCTCCAAATCAGCAGACCTCGGTAGGATCACTGTAAACAGTTACGTATAAAGGAAAGCTGCCTTGTCCTCAAGATTTGTGTGGGGGCACGTTCACCTAAGCCCCTGAAGTGTTTAAAATATACTCTCGTGGTGAATACTAAATGCTCAGATGCGTGTGTTTAACTTAATTTGTGCTAAAGACAGGGTTTTTGTTACAAAGCAGCAGACTACTCGAAGCTTAGCTTTCTAGAGTCAGCCAATGCGCCAAGATTCTTTTTCAGTGGCTGCCGTGGCTAAGTAACATCTGAATTTAGCTTTGCTAGAGAAGTATCAAATGTCTTCAACTTTTACTCTTCATTTAGTTTGCCTAACGCACAGTTAGTTTTGCCGCTTGCCCGTGTCAGCTTAAAATAAAGGTGTCTGTTCAACATCAATAATTGATATGGCTTTCATGTGCCAAATAAGATATCTTGAGGCACGTTGTATTGAGGGTATCAGGATTAATTGTGATCGCTTGGGGTTCACCTATGTACACATATATCTTGGTTCACGGGCGTTTGAATTTCACACCCATCTAAGTGCGGCTGCCGTGGTCGGTAATCTATTCCGCGCCCTCATGCAGAGCAGCGCGACATCACACGCTCTATGATGCCTTGGTGGTTTGCTTGATCAAAGTGCCCGTGCATATATGAAAAAACAAAAACAATATTGACGCAGCTACCACTTTCATTGCTTTTGTTTTGTGTTACTACAGATGTGGGCAGCGTATAGTATTGTTGCAGCAAGGAATTATCTACGGGGATTAGCCTGCACTAGCATATTATCCCAAAACCCAGCAAGCAACCAGGAAATGACGACCAAGGAGTCCCCATCATGGCACAGCACTGTCCCTTCAATATGATATGCATAGACGCAGTCCACTTTGCGAAGCTTCTCTATGTTTTTTAGTGCTTTTTATGTGAGAGTTGCCTTTGGACAAAGTGATTTTTCTAAACCACCATGCAGTATTACTGGCGCAATGGCTTTTCGAGCTGTTCCTTCCAAGACCAAGCACGGCAGCAGCGCGCGGGCGTGCTTTCAGTGCCATACACTATGGCCGATCGTCAAGATAGCTGTGGGAGATGAAATGCTGCCAGCAAAGCTGGCCTTTATGCTCTCACTTTCAGAGAAATCGGAGCCATATTTATTGGAGTTCAGACAAAAAAGCCCATGCTACCCTTTTTTTGCAACAGCACCAGATGACCTGTTGCAGTGACAGTTGGGACGAATTGTGCTAAAAGCTGGAAGCTGCAGACACATCTTGTAAACTGATGAAAATTTACCTGGAGAACGCGAACAACATCATTGATATAGCTGCCTTTGACATAGGCCTTGCTGCCAAAAGTGAGCTTCGAAAGATTGCTAAACAATCACACACTGTAGTTGTAAGTGTAAAAAAGGAATGCATTTCATTCATCAAGGCCTGTTCAGCAAAGATAATTGAAAGATCACCTCCAAAGTACAAGCTTACAAGGCGGGCCACTTGCTTAAACCCAGCTGTTTGCGCTGCTTTCGTAGAAGCAGGCCAAAAGAAACGGAACATTGCACTAGATGTCTTTATGGAGCACCGGCACCTTGCAGGCTTACAAGCATAGAGGACCAATCGATCATATGTGCAAGCGTGCTCAAACAGTACCGCACAAGTGCGTTTGCAAAAGTTAGCACATGAGAGTGCTTGGAACAATTGGGGATGGAACTGCGTTCAAATTCTCATAAAAAGCTTCACTTGTTTGTGAAGATGGTGCTTTGCCAATTCTTCAGTGGAGCAGGGTTTTTTGGTAAATAGGGAATGTCTGGTGTAAAATATGAAGGAGTAGCAGATGTGCAACAGCTGTGCCAATTGCGCCAATGTGATATGATCCCCGATCGTTGCGCTGACCTGCGCTAAAATCGGGAAATTTGCTTAAATTGTGCTATGCTGCATTCAAATGCGCAGCCAGCTTCAAAATGTTCTCTAGTGCACTAATTTTGGAAAGAAATGCAAGCCACGTCGGCCTCCTGCAGTTTGCGCTATCAGTCAATATACTTGAAATAATCTAGGCACCTTCCCTATGCTTGTGAGTCACGATCGACCAAATAAAGTAACGACGCTCTGTTCCTATCGGTCCGCTGGCCTCAGAGGATACCTATTGGCAGGAAGACAGAACTTCAAGACAAAAATGTGTTGCTGTAGCCACCAACGGTTCGTGGGATATGTAAATTTCCTACCCTGAAAATGCACCTATGGCTTGTTAGGAGCTAAAGCTGGAGCAGTGTGCCCCATTTTTTTCGCTCAAGCAAGCTCAACATGCTGCAAACGCTGGTGTTGCCAGCGACCATGTTTATTGCCTTGGCAGTGGCACATGGAATATTTGATTTGCCTTGAAGTTGCGTCGTCCCGGCCACGGTCCTGGCGATAGATATCCGGTATCGTCGTCGAGCCAACGGGCACGCGCCGTTGTTACTTTACCTGGTTGAACACGCCTTGCAAGGGAGCTGAAGCGGCACCTAACTCCCAAAAATTAGTGCCCCGAAAGTAACACTCTGCTTCTCCAAAAATTTCTCCAAATCGTATTTTGGCTATTGCACCCCTGGAGGAGTTTCTTGTAGCACAAAGGTCAGGGTACAATGAGGTGCCTAAGCCGATGGTGTCTCAAAAGTTGACATCACAGACAAGATGATTGACATGGTTCGAAGTGCCAACATCAAGGAACGGTTAGACTCATCAGATGTTGAAAGGAAGAAGAGGAGAACTGGAGCTCTTGTGAAGGAGCTTGAATTAAAGGAACAAAAGCTATTGCAAGACGCTCAGATTCAGGTCTCCGAGCTGCAGCAAGAGATCGAATGTTTGATAATGAAACTATTGCTGATGCAAACAAGCTTTTCTGTTTGTAAACATTTATTGTGTCATTTATAATAGATAGACAGCTATAGCATCTTTTATATATTATTCACTGTAAAGGATGCTTTCAGCCATAGGAATACTATAATAAAGCGTTTGCAGTTTATGCGAGTGCCTTTGACATTTTTTTCTACCACTTGAGGGTTTGTTTCCAGAGCAGAATTTTCCAAGTGGATGCAACGTTCGTTGAATTTGCCTTTGATTTTCACGAAAAACCTGAAAAAGTCAGGGAATTAGGAGAAATGAAATAGGTAGACACCTAGGTGCTTTCAATGCAAAGGGACTGTGTGAAAGGGGCACTTCTCCCTGGAGCGGCCGTATTTGCTCACACAAACGTTTTATAGGAGCACCCGATATCGGATCCAAAGAGTTGACTGCCAACCTTACTTTGTGTAACATTAATTTTTTGCTATCGCTTTCATTGCACTGCACTCAACACGCCGTTGTGTTGTTGCCAGAACTAATAGGCTAATCGCCAAAGCTATGAGACTGCGAACTCCTGGCACGGCGCAAGACGAACGTGCTTGACGAGTCGACCTCTGAAGATACGTGTTCTTATTGTGGTCTTTGAGAGTTTCCATCAGCGCCTAATCTAACATCTCCTCAGTGGTGACGTCACGGTTGTCCGCATTCAAAAATAAGAAAAGCAAAGCTGAATGTCGTAGGGGGCCACACTATGCGTGCGCAGTGGAACCATGCGCGCACGCACGGCGTTGAAAACGAAGAGCGAACGACATGGACATAGACACGGGTACTGCGGAAAACTGTTCAATAAAGAGCCCTCGATATGCAGCGTGGCCCCACATATGTAATGCTAACTAAAATCGTGGCACTGCTAATGCAAAAGTATTTTCTTTTGTTTGGTTTGGTGGGGGAGGGGGGTGGGCATATTTGCGCATGATCTCTCGGCTGCAAGGACAGCGGAAAGGCCGGCTCGTGAGGTGCAGGCCTGCATGCTCGCCTCGTGGGCACCGGCGCACAATAACAAGCCCTCGCTCTCCCCTAGTGCGCCGTCGGCGGTGGGGCACCCGTGGATGATGCATGCTCAAACCAAAATTTCAAAATCCGTGGCGAAATTCCTAGATAGTTCGTGGGGAAAATTCGTTATATCAAGGTTGTGTCTCGCTGTTACTTTATTACATAGAGGTTGCAAATACATGTGCTTCTATGTAGCAGCAATGGCGGGGAATAGAAAAAATTTTTTATATCGAGGAATATGTTATATGGAGGTTCGTTATAAGCATGGTCAGCTGTAGTAACTGTTTGGGTTTCATATCTATAATCACAAGATTATTATAGAGTGGAGGACTTAAGAAATTTTGACCATCTGGTTATATTGATCATGCACCTGAATTCAAGTACATGAACTTCTAACAATTCACCTCTTTTGAAGTGTGGCTTGCGCTGCTGGAATGAGATTCTGTGCTCTTTCGGACAACAGTTGAGCAGTATAACCACTAGATCACTGTGGCTCGTTGTATGTGCCGGTGTGCATTTTTGTTGGCTGGTGCTCATAAAAAAGAGGAATAGCACACCATGAAAATAAATTGTAACCAAATCACATTCACAAACACCTCGAAAGAGTTCTTATGTAGTGCATGTACGTTTCCTGGTTGTACTTCATCACAGCCCTCCCTCTGTGGCAGCCTGCTTCACTGCAACTCTTTACGCAGGTATGTGTCGTGCTGTGACTCTGCTTTCGTTGTCGGAGATTCCTGATGCTCAAGACATGTTCAAGGTGGTGGTTGAAGATGTTGTAGGCAGTGTGAGTGGCGTTTATTTATCTCTGTCATTGTGGGAAAGCCTTATGCATGGCAAAGCTGCGCCACTGTGCTGGAATCTGCTGCGGTGTGTGGCTGTTTGAGACAAGTGCTCACTCATGAGCTTTTGTGCGTTGAAAGTGTTAGTTGAACCGCTATTGGTGAAGCGGTTCTGTCAGATTCTATAACATGGAGGAAAGGTCAATTCGCATCCACTGGTCTGCTGCCCGGAAAAGGCTTTGGTCCAATGTAGGATTCCCATACCAGGACAAATTTTCGTTCAGCCATGTCTAAAATAAAGAAGTTGTCGTTTCATGACAATATATATTTATTAAAATTTGCTATTAATTGCTTTCATACTGAGATTCTGGATTATTTTCAAGTTGGGAGGTCTGGAGCCTCTATGCTTCCTCTTGAGCAACGTACCATGGAAATGCTGTTGTAGCTGCTCTTTATAATACAGTATTTCCTCGCATAATCCTCGCACTTTTTTCCGCTGAAAACCTATGAAAAGTGGAGAGTGCGAGAATTACGTGGCGAAAATTTTTTGTGAAAAAATATGCTCCTGAGCGCCTAGAAGGGTGGAAAAAGGGGGGACGTAATTTGGCAGATCGAACGTGCCTTACGAATCGACATTATGCAAAGCATGCGGAGAGGATACCATTTTGTAATTTTTAATATTCAGTAGCACGTTATCAAATGATCATGAATTTATGTAAAAATGTACGCACAGATATGTTGAACAGTTGCACATGTTTTTAAATAACCAGTCATTTGCACTTGCGCACTGATGCCAGCCCCAACATGAGTATTAGCAACGTGAGGAGCGGTAAACTGATGTGTAACGCCTGTATTCGCAAGGATAGTAGCCCTGGTACTGCTACATAAGTTAACTTCATTGGATGGTACTTGACTATAACTGGCATATACTCGGTGAGACAGGTGTATCATACGAGTACATATGTAATGTTTTTAAAATTGGATAGTCAGCATCGCAGCGACCGTTGACACTACACCAACATTCCACCCAAATAATATATTTTTTCAAAGCAGTACCGAGACGTGGCATGGCTCTGTGGTAGAATACCTGATTTCCATGCGGAATGATTGAGTTGGATTCCTGCTGGGACCCCGATGCTCATCGGGTCAGTGTTGCCGATGTCAGTATTTCTTCATGCTCTCGTATTTAAATTACCAGTGTTGTCACCGTTCTTGGGTACACATAAACTGTGAATCACTTGTGGCACATATGCACATACCAGTGGCATATACCGACCCACGGGTATGTGCCACTGTCTGGCGGAAAGTGACCGATGAGATGATTGTGACAATACTCATGTTACAACCAGCGGATCATATTTGTAAACCATTGTATATTTTCTTACTAATTTTGGTTTACCCAAAGTTATGAGGGTGATCACGACATGACCCTGACATAAACAAATAGACAAACAGACAGGCTGACAGACAGAAGGATGGACGAACAGACAGATATATATATATATATATATATATATATATATATATATATATATATATATATAGATGGACAGACAGATAGACAGACTCTCAACATGCCGACGGTACGCAAAGTAATGCTTCGCATCTAAAAGCAAATGAAGCGGTTGCAAATCAGGGTTCTCATGCCATCACCTAACTACAAGCTTTGAGAAGTATTAATCAAGACCCCGCAGGGGCGTCTCCGCAAGCAGGCGTTTGGTGTGTAGCGACACCACGGACCCGAGCTAACCGGGGATTTTGACTCCTTTCCACGCCTAGCCGTGCATGGCTTTGCCATATCCAGGGAAAAGGGGATCCTGGGGCTTGAGCCGATGCCGGGTGATAGCACCTTTAAGGCCCCCCGGCAGAGGCAACACACCCCTTTGGCCCTGGCTTCACGTAGACGGCACCCCTGGGCTGACCCACCCGCGGAAATCGGCAGTCCCCTTTTCCTATCTCTCTCTCTACCTACACCTTCGTCTTTCCCTCTCACTTCACATTTTCCCTGTCTTCTCCTCTCTTCTAGTGGCTTCTAATTTTTGATGGCGGTAAGGGTTAATCGTGTGTGGTCATCCAGCCTTGGTATATCATATCAGGTTATAGCGGCGGCGTACGACTGGCGTAGTGCAGATTTTTTTATGAAGCTCTGCCGCGTCCCCTTGTAGGGCTCCGTGGTGGGCGGTTGGCACTGTTGCCGAACTTTCCCAACTATCTAATGGCGGAAGTGTTCCCTAAACTCGGAAATGGAAATGTTCCCTAGAAGGCGGAAACGTTCCCTAAAAGTTTTCCCCAATAGCATTTTGCCTCCAAGAAACAAACCTGGGTGCAAAGCACGCTCGTATACTAAAAGGGTATACAGTTGTCCAAAGGACTGGCAAAATTGTAGCCATTTATCGGGAGGAGTTGCAATTGTAGTAAAAAGCGACATTCCCACCCGAGCAATCCTATTAAACACCCCTCTCGAGGCTGTGGCAGCCACCATTATTGCACACAAAACCATATCCATCTGCTCTATCTAGATTCCCCCTAATGAACAATTAACACTACAAGAACTTGAGGACTTGACTGCCCAACTTCCTGAACCGTTTGTTCTTGTAGGAGATTTTAACGCCCATGGTGTGCGGTGGGGCAGTGACAGAACGGACCAAAAAGGGCGACTCATCGAAGATTTTATTTTGTCGAATAACATTTGTCTTTTAAACTTTGTCACACCAACATACTTTTCACCAAGTTCAGGCAAGTTTAGTTGCCTCGATCTAGCAGTTTGCTCACCATCTGTTTTTAATAATCTTAAGTGAGAAGTCCTCGACTCTTCGTACGGCAGTGATCACTTACCTGCAATCATCAAACTGCCATCCTCACTACCCACCATCACCTCCAAACCACGCCGCTGGCTAATTCATCTTGCGCACCGGCCACTATATTCAGAAAACATGAAATTTAAGGACATCGTATCGCCAGATATCACCATCGGTGACATTAATCGCAAAATCACAGAAATTGTAATTGCAGCTGCAGAAAAGTCAATACCACGATCGTTAACTGATCTCCGAAAAACGAGAAATGCCTGGGGGACAAAAGAATGCACCGAGGCAAAGAAACTGAAAAATAAGGCTTGGGGCATCCTAAGGAGGCATCTCACGTACAGTAACCTCGTGAACTTCAAGCAGGCGAAAGCAAAAGCGCGATATATTCATAAGCAAGCCGAAAAAACGTCATGGCGCAATTACATAACTTTTATAAATAGCACTGTCTCATCTAAATGATTGTGCGACCTATTGAGAAAATTCAAAGGAGACTACTCAGCCTACACAATTCCCATTCTCACAAGCCCAGACATCCAAACAACACAAGAACAAGCCGACATACTAGGGGAACATTTCCACATTTTCAGTTAAGCCAATTACATTGATACTTTCCTCAAGCACAAAGAAACTACAGAGAAGCTGAAACTACCGCTCACAGGTGTTTCACACGAAACTTACAACCAACGCCTAACACTACAGGAACTAAGCAGGGTACTCTCATATGGTAAATAAAAAAAACGACAGTAGGCCCCGACAACATACACTACTCTATGCTGGCTCACCTGTCGGAATCATATACAAAAGTTTTACTAACATTTTTCAACATGGTATGGCAATCTGGATCTATGCCAAAACAAAGGAAAACTGCCATAGTAGTCTCATTTCTGAAAGCTGGAAAACCCCCAACATCCCCTAGCAGCCACAGACCGATCGCTCTTACCAGCTGCCTGGCGAAAACTTACGAAAGTATCATGAATTGTAGACTATCATTTATTCTGTATTCCAGAAATTTGATAGACAATCATCAGTGCTGATATAAAAAAGTTTGCTTAACCACTGACCATCTTGTTCGTATGGAGCATGAAATATGAGAGGCTTTTCGTCACAAGCAGCACTGTCTTACGGTTTTTTTGGACCCAGAAAAGGCCTACGATACCTCGTGGCGACACGCAATTCTGCAAGACATCGTTATTCTAGACATTCGAGGCAAACTGCTAAAATGTTTAATTTCATGACTAATACAACATTTTAGGTGCAGTTAGGCCCTATACTTTCACGTACATTTATCCAGGAAAACGGCGTACCTCAAGGATGCTTCTTTAGCACTACTCTTTTCATAGTCAAAATGAATTCCATTGATACGGTCATACCACCCACAATCATGCACTCTCTATATGTTGACGATCTTCAAATCGCTTCTCGTGCATCTAACCTATCAACATGTGAGAGGCAACTTCATGTTACCATAAATAAACTAACACATTGGGCTGACAGAAATGGCTTCGGATTTTCTGCACACAAGACGGTTGCTGTGGTAATTACATTGAAAAGAGGATTATTTCCAGACCCAAAGCTTACATTAAACAACAAGGCGATAATGATAAAGCATGAACAAAAATTGCTAGGGGTTACATTTGATAGTAAACTAAGCTTTCTTGCTCATATTAATGCACTCAAAATGAAGGCCAATAAAGCACTTCATATTTTAAAGGTTTTATCCCATAAGCATTGGGGTTCTGATCGATTATGCCTATTGAAGGTTTATCGTTTCATTGTGCGCAGCATTTTAAACTATGGGTGCATTGTTTACGGCTCGGCCAGACAATCCTACATTCGCCGTCTAGACGCCGCACACAATCTCGGTTTGCGTTTATCAATTGGTGCCTATAGAACATCCCCAGTTCAGAGTTTGTACATAGATTGCAATGAATCATCGCTATTCTAGCCCTGCATATTTTTAACCCTCTCTTATGTTTTAAGGATTAGGTCACAGTCTCAACATATATGCCACGACATCACCACGCAATGCCACTCACGCTTATACTACTCAAACAGGCCACACCTCATCACACCATTGATTTTACGCTTCGAAGAGCATTGCCACACCTACTATATTTGTAATGATGCACTGAAGGTCGCCACCGAACCACCGAAACTGCCGCCATGGGCTCACCTGGCGCAACTGTGCGATTTTTCAC